CGCGGCGAGCTGCGCAGAAAAGGCACGTCAAGAAACATACCAGAAAAATAAATTGTCCACTTCATATGGCATGACCAAAACAAGCAAATAAAGAAAAGCTGAATGCCATACTGTTGAAGCCAAACAGACTAGAACATGGGGAGAGGCAGGGAGAAGCAAACAGGAGGTAATGCACACCGAGGACACGTACAAGGCACATAGGCTGGAGGGCACGGGGGAGGCGGGCGGGCACAAAAACACGATAAGACGAAGCAAAGACAGCGAGCTAAGAAACAAGTAGTACCCACGGAAGACATAGACATAGGCTCGAGGGCAAAGGCAAGGCGAGTGGACGGACACACAGTGGGAACAGCACACTGGCAAGGCAGGGAGGCACTATGATGAACAAGCAGCGGACGAATGAGTGCACGGGGCGAACAGCACACTGGCAAGGCATGGAGGCACTGTGATGAAAATTTTTCCGGACGAAGGCTGGAGGGCACGGGGAAGGCGGGGGAAGCAAACAAGCAGCAGCACGTAGCAGGGTGAACAACACAAGGCAAGGGAAGGCATGGTGGAGGCAGGCGGGGAGACAAACAGCCCAAAGCAGCAGGGAAACAACAGCGAGCCAGACAGCAGCAAGGCAAAAGTAGCAACCAAAAAAAAAAAAACTAAGCAGCAGGGAAACAACAGCGAGCCAAACAGCAGCAAGGCAAAAGTAGCAACCAAAAAAAAAAAAAACTGAGTATGACAAAAAGACACAGACCAAAAAAAATAAAGATGAAAGATTGTTTCGTCGGAGTTGCACCGACTCATCAGGAGGCTGAACCCTCGACAATCTGCAGAATCCCCGTATTTGATGGTTTAGGTCATGAACCCTTTGACCCTTGTTGAAGGCAGACTGTCCCCCAGAGGAACATAGCAGCGGGCAGCAACCCTGTGAAGCACCAGGCAACACAGTAGAGGCAACACGGCTGCACAACGCCAAAAACGACTTCAAGGAACGACATGGCACGCAGCGTGGCAGCCGTGTAGTGAAGCACAAGGCAACACAAGCAAGGCAACAGCACTGCAGGGGACAACAGGGCGAGTGACCCAGCAGCTGGGCAACCGTGGAGCGGAGCACAAGGCACCAGCAACAAGGCAACCAACCTACAGGGGACACAAGCGGCAAGCACGGAAGGCACGGCCAACGGATGAGCAGCATGGCAGCAGGGCAGCGAAGCGCAAGGCAACACCAACAACACGGCCACACCGCACAGCGAACACATCAACCCGCAAAGCACCACACGCGAAGCAAGCGAGACAGGCAGCAGGGCAGCGGCGGAGCGCAGACGAGGACGTCCACACATCCAACACGGAGCAAAGCAGCACATGACTTACTCACATCACGATAGAACCCCGCAGACTGTTGGTTCCCACCACCCACTGAGCCAGGGAGTCACCCCGACGAACATCCGTCATCACCGACAGGCAAGACAGACATCCTGAACCGAGCAGCCCCCATAAGAGTGCAGTAGGCACTCCAAACGAGGAACCACCGACTGTTTGGCACTGCTCGAGGGTGCTCCGTTGGGCACACAAAAAACTACTGGAAAAAGCTCAGGAGGACAGACAACAGGAGAAAGACTTACAAACATAAAACTGATTGTGTGTGTGTGTGTGTGTGTGTGTGTGTGTGTGTGTGTGTGTGTGTGTGTGTG